TTCTTTTGTATATCACTATTATTGAAGTAACTACTTCTATGAATTTGGTGTTCATCTTGTTGTGCTAATGAGGTGTGACAACTTGTACCGATGCATATATGTGCCTGGTCCTACGTTGTAGCTCACTATTTATTATTGTTTTTATTTTAACACATAGATATTGGTACAGTGAGGCACCAAATATATATGTACCACACAAATCTCATTTGATATGTGTGAAGGCTGTGGTACTGACCGGGTACCCAAACCGAAACAGGTGGTTTTCTTAGGGGGCCACAACCCGAGCCTTCCACCTGAATGTCTGACCCACAAGGCAGTGGAGCACCGTAAGGAGATGCAGTCCCATGGAAGCCGGTGACCAACGATTGGTTCATACGCCATTTGTTCCTTCAGGATATTGGAGCCATCCCATGTGCACCATTGGTTTGGGATCCGGTTAAAGCACCGGACATTCGCTTTTCGTCCTCTCATTTTCGTAAACAACACCCGTGGTGCGAGAAGGCAGTGAGTAGGACTTCCCTGACAGAGGTTATGTACGCGTGGCCATGTGAGAGCATTTGGAGAGGGAGAGTGGACTCTCCCCACTCTCGGCCATACCAGGTCATTTGGCGGCATTGTAGCTCAATGGTTTCATACTACGTCATTTCTACATAATTACTGTTATACAATGGTTATAAGTAGAAAATTTGATTAAATGCAGATGAGAAAACTTCGATTAACAGCTAAGTGGATAACGCGATGGCGTTTGAAGTGAACGGTACTGGTTTTAAGTCTCAAAGTGAACAACTCTGAGATGCTGGTGCATCCAGCTGACGAGTCCTATATAAGACGAAACGCTTTTCCTCGATTCCACTCATAGCCACCATCATCTTTGCTTCTAATGCTTGTTACTGAAGATAATATCGAGGCAATCCGCACAGGATGAGTATTTGCCGATAAGAGACTGATCAATTGTAGTCCTAAACATCAATGGAAAGATTCAAACGACCACTACAAAAATGAACGGAATTTTATAGATGTGTAAACATTAATTAATTACACATGTTGGAATTTCGAATAAATTAAGAAACTTATAAAATGTTAATCTCTTTCATCATACTCTAAACAACTTGTTCCTTTGAATTTTGCATGATAAGCCTATTATAATAAAAGTGTATTGTTTTTTATTTTTATGTGTAGAAGCCAACCAATTCATTATTGAGGCGGTAAATCTTTGTTGGCGTTCAATTAAGATTGTCATATCAGTTAGTCATAATCAACATCTAACTTGGCATAAATATGCGCTAACTCAATTTTTTCTACCAGCATATGAGCTTACGTATATTGTTATGACCTATTCAGTGATATACAGTCAGCTCAGTATAATTAACCCAAGTTACGATAGTTTATTAGCACAACGAGGTGAAATTTGTAAAATGATTAGCAAGACAGTCGGAAAATATAATGTCAGTTATGACGAGAAAGATCAAATACTGGGAGTATTGTTTGAATAGACATATTAAAAGGAATACTGAGACCCGAGATCTAAAATGAGATGAAAAGTAAACTCATTTTCTCCATTTTGACCCATCCCGAGATATGTCATCTAACATCTTTAACCACTGATCATGATTATCTCTCAGACCCCAGCCAAGCAGTCTGTATCTACCAATATAGCTAAGAGCGACAATCATTGACTTCGTAGAATGATGCCATTTTTTACTTTGATCACTCATATCTTTCTTCGAACTTACTTCTGCACCAGCTAAAATTGAATACCGAGGTAGGCGGTCGTTGACCATACGTTACATATGTCCTAGCCACAACTGCGTCAACCGGTTCGCCATTTTTGCCTGATAGCTTATGCATAACCTGAGCAGTGAACAATTTCTTAACGATTAGGGAGCAATACTTCGAAAATATGTATGATCGAAAACGTTCAGTCTTACATATATATATATATATATATATATATATATATATATATATATATATATATATATATATATATATATATATATATATATATACCACAAACTGACTGACGTATACACAGGGGAGTCGTAGGATTTAGATCCTCTGACAGAATCATGCCACGGCTATTCCAAAACTTGCAGCTCCTTTATTCAATCTAAAGCGTAATTATAACTGTACACTGTTCAGGAGCCTAAAACTGAAATAAAAACAAATCAGTACATTGTAGCTTCCAATAATCTTCCAAATGATATCACTTACGTTTTGATTAAGATCGTGAATCGATCAATGTTAGATCACCATTAAAAGCTTGAAAGCAGTGGACGGCCGTTTTGTCTTAATCTGAGACTGATTAGCAGAGCACATCAATGATCCCGCTCATGGTCTTAGGACCTAATCCTTCCAGGTTTTTAATGATTGTCCAACATTAATCGATCCATGATCTCAATCAAAACTCAACAATCTTTACAACCCTATACTGATAGATATTAGTTGCCTTTAAAAATGTATGTAAAATTCTCAGGATAGAAAGCTTGGCAAGACAAAAAAATTAATTTTTGATTAAGATCATGAACCGATTGATGTTAGACTACCGTTGGAAACCTGTAAGCACTGGACGACCATTTCGTCCTATTGTTGGACCCTTCAGAAGTGCGTATCCACGATCCCGCTCGCGGGATTCGAATCCAGAGCCTTCGGTCTTGCGCGCGAACGCTTAACCTACTGGACCACTGAGCCAGCATTCGACAATGTTAGTGTCTGTTAGCAAGACTGAAGACCCTGTGTTCGAATCCTGCGAGCGAGATCGTGGATACGTACTTCTGAGGCATCCAACAATAGGACGAAACGGCCGTCCAGTGTTTCCAGGTTTTCAACGGTGGTCTAATATCAATCAGTTGATGATTTCAATCAATAACTTAATAATCTTCACAACCCCTATACTGGAAAATAATTAATGTACATTCATTTATATAAACAAAATATTTCGAAGTTTTTCAACATTTTGATCATGTCGATATCACTATTTGATACTAAACTAAGTGAACAATTAAAACCTACAAATAGAATTTGATTTTTCAGATAAATTAAGCAGTTTGTATTTGATATAATAATACTTATTGTATAATCCATACATTTAAAAGGAAGTTTCATTACTAATAAGATATAAAAAACAGCATAATAATCATTATCAATCCTTCATATAAAATAATATAACAAACAAAACAATATTTTTGAAAAAGGAACAAATTGAAACTTTAATTAAAATTTATGATTTGTTTGAAAGATTTAAAAAAATATATATATATTTTAATATCAAAAAAGGTTTTAATGGAAGCACTAAACGGCCGTTTCGTCCTAGTATGGGGCTCCTCAGGAGTTGAAGTGAGACATTAACACTGTTGGATTCCGGTCGGCTCAGTGGTTTAGAGGTTAAGTATTCACGCTCGAGACTGATAGGTCCTGGGTTCGAATCTCGCACTTTTGAGAATTTTCATACTAGAACGAAACGGCTTTCTACTGCTTCCAGGTTTTCCATGGTGGTCTAGCTTCAATTGACTCATGATCTCAACCATTTGAAATGTATGAACTAATATCTGGAATTCTTAATTTTTAGCATAAAATTAATGAAATAATATTTCTTATGAAAGAATTAATTGATAAGTAGAAATTGAGTAGTATATAATGATTATGTATTGATTAATATACAGTTCATTTAATCTATTGCTTTATAAACTATTATAGAACTTCTGATACTTCTGTGTTTCGATTCAGATCATCAAACATTGCAACACTATAATAGAGAGAGAAAGAGAAAACATTTAAATTAGACATAAACCGTTATAAAGTTAATCTGATATCGTAAATGTTAGCAACGATTGCAAACAGAAAATAAGATTTGGAGAGAAACTGAAGCATAAGAAAAATTATGATGTAATGCTGAGACTTAGATTTTAGGGGAATCTAAAAAAATTAACAAGGTTATATAAGTGCAGCTAATTTCCAGCCACTCCACCTAAATTCTACAATCAATGATTACAATTATCATTCGAACTCCAACTAGAAAGTTTGCACATTTCTACATGGTACGACAGTAACAGCTTCTTGGTTTGATATTATGTTTTGTCTTGACCCTAACTAGCCGTCTTCTAACCTACCATCAGATAGGCGAAGGTTATGTATGCTCAAGAAGAATATATAGGAAAGTCTTATTGCAACTACCACGAATAAAGATATACAGGGAAACAGAATGTAAATTATCTCGTTCATTGTTGCATGATGACGGTCAGAAGTACACCTGATATGCATGACAGATAGACATCGATTACCTAAACACATACGAAGACATAATTTAACAAAACTTTTGATATACATGCCAACGGAAGTCGACAACAATTTCACTTCGTCATTATTTTGTATGAACATTTTTACTAATTAATTAAGTGCTTTCACATTGCCACGCGTATATAGCCTCTGCTAGGGAAGTCCTACTCAATGCCTTCTCGTGGTGGGGATGCCGTTTACGGAATTGGGAGGACGAAAAGCAAATGTCCGGGGCCTTAACCGGGTTGGTGGATACGAAGAGTCCACCTAGGGGAGTTGGAAAACCCTCATTCCAAACCAATGGTGCACATGGGCCCCAGGATCCTAAAGGAACAAATGGCGTATGAACCTATTGTTGGTCACCGGTTACCATGGGACTGCATCTCCCCACAATGCTCCACTGCCTTGTGGATCAGGCCTTCAGGTGGAAGGCTCCGGGTGTGGTCCCCTAAGAAAATCACCTGTTTCGGTCTGGGCACCCGGGCAGTATCATAGCCCACACATAAATCGAGTGGCTTGTTTAGCTCCTATGTATTCGGTGCCCTTTTGTACCAATATTTATGTGTTCAAATAAATAAATAATTAAATTATGTATTTACAAGTTAGATGAATATAAAGTAGAATTCCTTATTGTAATCGAAAAAATGTTATTATTACTATTATTAACATCCAGTACTTTTTCTAATTCCCATTCATTTTTAATTTTTATGCTTATTTATTCACAGCCATCATCAACATGTTCAGTTAATTATTCAAATAATCATCATCATGTAGAATCATTATGTTCACTTAATGTTCCCACATTATCACCATCTCTATTGTGTTCTTCATTATGTTCTACAAGTTCATCTGATCAAATATCAACAATAATTACACCTTCTAGTCATTTACATCAAGATAATCCATATCGTGGTAAACGACGTCAAGTATCTAGTCCATTAGAAGAGCATAATAAATTGAATAATGAAAATGATTTTATACAAACTCCATCAAAAAATCGACGTTGTTCAAGTTTCAATTCACAAAAATGTCTAATCAATAAACAATTTACAGAATCATTAAATAATAATAATAATAACAATAGTTCAGGTAAATAATATTATTCTTTTGTTATAATGCATAAACTATCATATTTTAATATATTATTTCAATAAGAAATAAAGAAAAACAATTCTCATACATCTAATCTCGATATGTTCTTGTATAGCTATGCTTGAACTAATAGTAATAATAATAATGCTTTAATTAAATGACCTGATATACTAACATTCATTGATGAATGAAGAATCCCTGTTTTTAAGCTTCAATAGGAAATCAAGGATAAGACAATAAATCGAATGATTTACGTGGGAGCTGAAACATTGCCCGGGAGCCTAAATCGAAGCAAATGGTTTTCTTAGGAAGCCACTCCCCAAGCATTTGATCTTCAGGCCTAATCTGCAAGGCAATGGAGCGACGTTAGGAAATGCAGTATTATGGTAGCCGTTGGCAACCATAAGTTCATACGCCTTTTGTTCCCTCAGGATCCTGGAGTTCATGTGTACCGTTGGTTTGAAATCAGAGTTTTCCAACTCACCTAAGTGGATCCTCTATATCCACCAACCTAGTTAAATTTCTGGACATTTGTTTTTCTTTATCACAATTTCGTAGATGACACCCTCTCCCCTAGGATACAGTGAGTAGGACTTCCCTTGTAATAGCTGTATACACGTTGTCATGTGAGAGCATTTGGAAAGTGAGAGCTGACTCTCCCCACTCTTGACCATATCAGGGCATTTGGGTGGTTATATATAATTCCACTTAATGAAGCAAATGGAAGCTTACTATTACGGGAATCTATAAAATTACATTAACTAAATGTATAATAAATACGTACAAAAAAGAGTTTATGTACTAATCTCCCGAACAAATTAATATCCGAATTCCAATATTTTCATCTATTTTCCTCATCTTAATAAGATTTGTTTACTGATAATTTTAAAGAATAGGATTTTAAAATAAAGGATAGCTATAATAGAATTTGTTACTTATTGCATGTGATGAAAGTTTTGCATCCATTTTTTACGGTAGTTAAAACTTTCAACTGAATGATAGAATTAGAAATCTGTGCACGCATTGAAATTCTTGGTCTAGCTGCCGAAATGACATACAACTCCCAAGATTTATTACCAAGTGACATGAATAAGTTTCGTACCTTAGTTTGTGTATTTATTGGGCTAGTCACATGATAAAAGATCTGCAATTACTTAATTAAGTATCATATTGAGAATTAAACTAACCCCTCAAATGACGGCCTGTCATTTGTGCAAAAGATGGAACAACTATCATATGTGAACTGCATTTTTCTTCTTGAGTAAATACAGATATTGTTTTTATATTCCTGAGTTCGACCCGATATAAAGTTATCAGTACTGCACTACTTCACGGAATTCTTCACTAAAAAAGAGTGTTCAACAAGTACTCCTTGATTTAACAGCGATTGATCACTAAGTAGTGGTCTATGTCATATTTATCTATTCCTTTAGTGTGCTGATCGAATTCGATTGGTCAATTTGCTATGTAATCACTAGTCCAAGTGATTCGAAATCTCATTTACTATATTTTGATGCTAGATATTTGAAGGTAGTGAAGAAAATACCCTGTTTGACCTAGGTTTCGTACTAATTAGTTAACATTTGTCAGAAAAGTGTACTTAAAATCTTTAAAGGAACTAATCCTCCTTAGTTTTTTTTCTTTCTTCATTCAATGACTCTTTATTTGACACTCATTTATTATATAATTATTTCTTCAAATTAATTTTATTTTTTTAAAATTTAAATTTAACACTCATTATGTAAAAGTAAAATGAGATGTATACATGAATATGTGTATCCATACCAATGTATACATACCAGTGTTATTTCCTCTCTCTCTCTCTCTCTGATTTATTCATTTCTAGCATACTAATTAATCATACACATCAATGTACACGTAAAATAAGTTTTTTTTCTTGTTTACAAAAGTAATTAAACAATGACATTTCATTTAGTGTTTTAATACTACTATATTCTTGTTTATATATTCAGTAGTATAAAAATAATCAAATTATTAATTAATAACATATTCAACCTATTCATCAAAGTAGATAGTTTGACACTAATCTTTGTTTTTTTTTTTAAAGAAATAATAATAAATTAGGGAAAGGAACATGAAATCTTAAATTCATTTTTGATATGGATGTCATTTTTTCTGAGGAGAAAAGTCACCACAATAATAAAATTAATGATAGCTAAAATTATTTTCTTTGAACAGACAGATAAGAATATAGATAGATGTATAGATAGACAGACATAAAAAAGCTTAAATGTGAATGCAAAAGTGAATGTCGCCTATTTTGAAGCTAATATATATATATATATATATATATATATATATATATATATATCATAGTAACCCACTGATGATAATGGTGGATTTGTCACTCCATTTCGTGGATTAGTTGAAGTTAGACACTAACACCGTTGGATCCCGGTGGGCTCAGTGGTCTATTGTTTAAGCGCTCGAGCGCGAGACTGATAGGTCCTTGGCTTGAGTCTCGTGAGGCGGGATCGTGGATGCTCACTGCTGAGGAGTCCCACAATAGGACGAAACGGCCCTTTAGTGCTTCCAGGTTTGTCATGGTGATCTAGCTTCAATCGACTCATGATCTCAACTATTGAAATTACATCAACTTATGTTTTGCACAAATTCAAACATAAAACAATAGAGGAAATCAATAAAATAAAATGTGAAAACATGAAACTATTGATAATATATATATCAATGATATAAGAAACTGAAGATGAACGATCTCTGTGTATAGGTTTTTATTATATTTGTTATTACTGATCAAAACCCCAGTTTTGATTAGTCTTTGTTGACATAGGAGCAGTTACTTCGATATAGGCCTCAGCTACAAGCTGACTCTATTTTGAATAGCTTATTTTTGAACATATGTTAGTTAAATGTACCTGTATTCAAAACAATAGGTACTGAATTAGAATCTCAGTGTGAATAACAATGAGAAACGTGCATTTTGAAATTCCATTGGTAATCAAAATTTTCAACTACAGAATATGAGTTCAAGTAGTTATAATTTAGAATAATAACACAAAAATGAGAAGTCTAACAGTGAATAATCAAAGTATGAACAATAAATATCTTCATGAATAAAGAAAAAGCAAATATCGGGAATTGTTAAAATCAGATTTTGGATTTTGTGGAGATTGTAGTAATTTTAACAGTGGAATTCATGAGTTGGTCTAAGCTAAATCCTAGGTCCTAGGTTCGAGTCCATCGTGCGGGATCGCAGATACGCAATGCTGGGGAGTTTCATACTAGGACGAGACGGCCGTCCATTGCTTCCAGGATTTCAATGGTGGTCTAGCCTAGATGGACTCATGAATTCAACTCTTAAAATTGTTAGTTGTTTCTAATATTGAAGAAAGGTAGAAAGTGGGTATATTTTCTTATCACTATATGATCAGTTTTAAGTCATGTCACTAAATATCTGTAATTAATCATTTCTAATACGAAGGGGAACTAATGTGAGCTCAGTAGTACAGTCACTTGCACAAAATATTTTAATAGTTATCCCCAATACTATCGAGTCCAGAAAGTAAACAAGATGGCAATGAAAACTTTATGTTCTGAAAATTAAGGAGAGAAAATTAAAAGGGAACAACTCTATTTCTATGATAACATAACATGACCTTGGGCACAGAAAAATTAGAGAACTAAACACATCAAACACCAATCAGGAAACAAACAAAGGTCATGAGAAACTGTGAATTGGAAAAAATGTTATTGTGATTACTGTTTCAGGAAAAAAAATTACGTTTATTGATGAAAATAAGAGGTTGAGGTCCACTTAACAGAGTTTCTCCTTAAAAATCTCTTAGAAAGTATTTTTATTTTGTATGGTTTACTTTCGTTATATTTCTTTAAGAGCTTCTTTTTTTCACCGTGATCTCATCATTTTTTTTTTGTTTAAGTATTTAGTTTTCTCATCACTCCACATACCTAACATTCATGTGCTCTCTATTAACTAATTTCTAGATATAATTCTCAGAGTTCTTGTAGGAAACTGTGGACAGTAAAGTTCAACCATTTCGATTACTAAATAATTACCTACCTAATGGATTGGTACATGCTTGAACAATATCGCGAATTCATTAACACTACAAATGTCAATTATTCGATATTAAATGTTAGTGATCTAAAATTTAGACATCTAACGAAGAGACCTAAACGTCCTGAATTTAAGTCGCAATCAGGTCGTGAATACACACTGCTAATGTATGGTTTCATACTAAAACGAAATAGGGATATCCAATGTTTCCTAATTTTTAATAGTTGTCTAACTAATATTTTTCTTTTAAATTTTATTCAACAAATAAATACATCTTAATGTCAATGATTAAGATCATGAGTCAGTTGAAGCTAGACCACCATGGAAAACCTGGAAGCACTGGACGGCCGTTTCGTCATATTATGGGACTCCTCAGCAGTGCGCATCCACGACCTCGCCCCCTGCGAGATTCGAACCCAGGACCTACTGGTTTCGCGCGCGAGCACTTAACCACTAGACCACTGAGCCGGCATCCAACGGTGTTAATGTCTAACTTCAACTAATCCACATCCACCATTGTCTTCAGTGAGTTACTATCCCACAACAGACCTGGTTGAACTCCACTGGTCACTACTTCTCACTAGAACTCCAGGATATACCTCTTGAAGCCAGTCACTAGTGAGCATATGTTGATTATTATCAGAAGGGGTTTTGTGGAGATTGTAGTAATTTCAATGATTAAGATCATGAGTCTTAATGTACTTAATCTTAATGTACTTAAGTTTGAATCATATTTATTAATGTTAGAATTAGTGGAATTGACATAGATGAAATTATGAACTTTGAATCTAAAAACGAATAGTTCAAGTTCAAAACTACTCATTTTTTTTTTCATTCAAGATTTAAACCAGGAAAATAAACCATAAATCTATGTAATACATTCATAGATTGAATGTAACGTGTTTTTCCAAAATACACGTTAATGACCTCTTTTAAATTT